CAGCCCCTTTATGCCACTTGTCATAGTAACTAGTTCTTTGTTGTGACTTCTGACCTCATCTTTTTACGAATCATGTCTGGGGCTGTCAAGGCGGTTCAGTGGGAAAAACGCTTGCTGCCAGGTCTGAAGACCTAAGTTTGATGTGTGAACCCATGTGGTGAAGGAGAGAACCAGCCCCTGCAAGTCGTCCCCTAACCTCTGTGCATATGCACACGTGAACAAGTACACACTCACACTAGGTAAATACATGTAATTAAAATTTTAAGTCATGTCTATAACCCCCAAAGTTGGAGAGTTGGAGCTCTACGGTCAGCAGGCTTTTGTTGGTTTGGTTAGGTTTTTTAGGGGGTGGGCAGGGTCTCTCTATGTAATCTTGGCTGGCCCAGTACTCATTATGTAGACCAAGCTGACTTTGAATTCACTGACCTTTACCTCTGCCTCTGCCTCTGCCTCTGCCTCTGCCTCTGCCTCTGCCTCCCAAATACTGGGATTAAAGGTATTCACTTTCAGCTTTGCTGATTTTTTTTTTTCACATTTCTCCCTCCACTCCACCTCCAATATTTATCTTAGATTGCTAAATATTATATATAAAATAATTTATAAAAAATAACTTGGAAAAAACCCAGGCATGGTAAGCACCCACATGCAATCCCATCCAGCATTTGGGAGTCTGAGGCAAAAGGGGTGCAGCAAGTTTGAGTCACCAAGGGAATCCCATCTCCACCTCCCAAGTATTGGGATTAAAGGCAGTCCCAAACTCTGGTCCTCACACTTGCACAGCTCTTTACCTGCGAAGCCGTCTCTCAAGCTCTTGGGCTCACTAGTCTTTTATACTATATGTAACTTACATATTTTATTTTATGTATGTTGGTGTTTTGCCTGCATGTATGTCTATGTGAGGGTGTCAGATCCCCTGGAACTGTAGATTCAGACAGTTGTGAGCTGCCATATGGGTACTGGGAATTGAACCCCAGTCCTCTGGAACAGCAGCCAGTGCTCTTAAGCTCTGAGCCATCTCTCAGCCCCCACTAATCTTGATTTCAATCTCCTCCCAGAACTCAACACACTAACTTTCCAGTTAGTTAGCTCTGCAATGTTTGCAAGAAGACACTTCTCATGTTTTGCTGATTTCCTAGCTTCCCCCAGTAGTGCAGTTGGTCTGAGTTACCTAACTAATGCTAATGGGGGGCTCCTATTCAATAAATATTAGTTCTTTCTTCCTTTCTGCCTCATCCAAATCTTAGTGTTATAGGGGATGGGGTGCAGAAGATACGACATAGAAGGGAGAAAATGTAGAGAAGGTTCTAGAACTCTAAGGCACTGTGAGTTCTGTGAGTAGGGCCAGGTGGCTTTGCAGCTCTTGTCCAGCCCACCACCTCATTTTACCTGGCTTCGTTCTGTGTGTTCTTCCTAGGACAACATCCTTTATTGCATCTGATTTCTTTGTATCTGAAAATGTGGGCATTCTTTCACATTTTAAATTATTCCAGTCAATATTTTCTTCTAATATTATATCAGGATTATAAATCCATGATGTCAAACAAGTCAGGCCTTTTCTGAGATGACTCTCCCACTGAAACTTGAGACCCTGTCTCTCCCCCTCTGCCTCAAAGCCACTGTAGCTACCATTCATCTTCTTTGCACGTATCACTGGTATCATTCTAAATCCCTTGATTCAGTAGATAATCTCCCCACCTCCAACACCCTTCAGAAAATGCACACTTACCCTGGAACCCATGGCCCCTACAGTGAGGTAAGAATTCCCGCCCCTTGCAATGACCATTTCTCAGGACCTACAGGGTTTATTAGGAGACAAGCTCAGAGGGCTGGAGAGCTGACTCAGCAGTTAAGAGCTCTGGCTGCTCTTACAGAGGACCCAGGTTCAGTTCTCAGAAACCACATGGTGTCTCACAGCCACTGCAACCCTGGTTCCAGGGGACCCTCGGGCCAAACAGTCATATACATATACATACATACATATACATACAGATATATATGTGTGTATATACATAAACACACACACACATACATATATATATTTTTTTAAAGAGAGGTCTCCTGTGGAGGCCTAGTCACATGGAAGAAGAGGTTAAAATGTTCTTGCTATGGCATTCAAGATCTAATCATGTCTAATTTTTTTTAAGATTTATTTATTTACCTCACATATGTGAGTGTTCTATCTGTATGTACAACTTTATGCCAGAAGAGGGCATCAGGTCCAATTATAGATGGTTGTGAGCCACCATGTGGGTGCTGGGAATTGAACTCAGGACCTCTGGAAGAGCAGCCAGTGCTATTAACCTCTGAGCCATCTCTCCAGCCCTAATCATGTGGAATTTATTTAAACCATAGACAAATTATCAGGAAATAATGAGAAGCTTTTAAAAAGGCAATATAGTAAACTAAATTAGGGACAGAGCCAATAAAAGGACCTGTGATGCAAGTTTGGTGACCTGGGTTCAATCCCTCGTACCCACAGCAGAAGGAGAGAACCAACTCCTGAAGTTTCCCCTGTCCTTCACACACATGGTGGTATGAACTACCTTACACACAGATACACACACAGATTAATAACAACAACAACAACAATAATAAGCAGAAATAGAAATGAGGGGCTGGAGAGATGGCTTAGAGATTAAAAACACTGCTTTTTTTGGAGGGGGGAGACAGAGTCTCTGGCTGGCCTTCCACTCACAGAGATCCATCTGCCTCTGCCTCTCAAGTACTGGGATCAAAGGTGTGAGACAACACAACTAGCAAACTTGCTGCCTGCTCTGGCAGAAGTCCTCGGTTTGAATCCCAGAATCCACATGGTGGCTCACAATTGTCCACAACTCTAGTTCCAGGGAGCCCAGTGCTCCATCTCTGGGACCTACACAGCTGAAGAATAGGACCAATTCCTCCACATACACTCAAACCTGTACACATACATACACACTCACAAGTACATATAATTACATGCACACAAAATAAATAAAATGCATATATATGGAAATGTTAAATGTATCTTTCACATGAATATTTACATTTTTTTAAAGTTTACCAAAAATATATTCATAAAATAAAAACCCTGGCAGGGTTCTGGCAGAAGTAGGACCGATACAGACAGCTTCTGAGACGCCTGCCCGGTCTGTTCCATCCCCACCCAAGGGAGGGGTGAGCTGGTATTTCTTCCGCTCCTGCCAGGAGGATACAGACACCTGTGTGTGGGGCTCCCACGCCTGTAGCCAGAAGCCAGGTTCACACACACACACTTGGCAGCTAGCCTGATCACTTTCTAAACTAGCTCCCTTGGGGCATCCAAGGCCTATTTCTCTGGAAGGCTGTTGTGCAGTCTGTGACTGTCAGAAACACAGAGAAGCCCCACCAAGCTTGCCTGAAGCCGCTGAGGGGCTGACATCACCAGAACTTCAAACAAGACAGACAAAAGTGATGAACAGAAACGGAACATGGTGTGAGGTCTTTGAGATTTGTCTCACTCCAAAGCCCTCTCTCTGATTTACTCTTCCCACAGCCTAACCTTAGAACCCACTGAAATATAAGATCACATCCCAGTCACCATTGAGCCCCTTGTGAATGTCCTTTCTCCATGGGAAAGCCTGCCTCTGTTATCCACCAAACACCAGACGGGAGAGCACGCTCTTGCAAGCCGCACGGGGACAGGAGGACTTCCAGAGGAATTCTTGGAAGCAGGAACCTGCTGGTGTTCACCTGTCTATGTTGTGAGTTATTTCTCCCTGAATAAACATCTGTTCGGCCTAATAGTTTATCCTGTTCCTTATTAAACCGCGATACACTGCCTTCCCAGGGAAAGCCTCAGCTCATGGGAGCCAGGACTCTGGCTTCCTCTATCCTGAGAAACAGTCTCAGCATAGTTCCTGCCCAAATCAGAAGCCATCTCCACTGACATTTAATAAAGAGAAATACAGAGCGCAATAAAATTGGGATTTCTGATAAACAGTAATACATTGTTAGTATAAATGTGCCCCATTTGTTTTATCCCATCCACATACGTGTAAGAATACTGTCCTCCCCTCCCCGTGTCTGCCCAGAGGTGGGACACTTTAGTCCTAGGGAACTTCCGTCCCACTGCCTCCAGAGCATGACATCCTAGCCACCTCTCATCCACTCCTCCCTGCTCCTCAAGCTCCATATCGCCGAATCCCATCTGTCTACCTGTGGCAGGTGGGTACCCCTGCCCCTCCTCCACACAAAATTCCTCTTGGCCACTTGTTCCCTAGAAATGATGGACTCCTGCTCCCAGCTCTCACCGTCTCCCACCATGGTATATGTTATGCCATCACAGTTAGTTTACATACACTATGCCTCCTAAGCACCCAGTTCTTGCAATGGCTATGAATTATTATTTTGACTGTTACTTGCCCAAGATCACACCTTGCTAAGGGTTGCCAGCCATATCCCAAAACTTAAGTCAAACCAGACTGAACCAGTACTTCTTAGACATTCAGTTTTGCGGGGAGCTGGGAGTGACTTTGTTTTGTTTTGAAACAAGGTCTTGCTATGTATCCCAGGCTAGCCTTGGCTCACGACCTTCCTGACTAAGCCTCCCAAGTGCTTGGGATCATAACACTATTTTTAAGTCTTCTGGTGAGCATCACGCATACTGCTACACACTACGGAACACTCCCATCTTCCCCATATAGCATTGGAGCTTCAGCATGGCTCCAAAAACCTCTCCACCGATCCCTCTCCCTCTCCCGAGAGAGCAGTTATCTCCCCACTCTTCCCTCAGCCAGGAGACTCCATACTCTCTCAGACAAAGGGGGAATCGTCTGGCTATGTTGTCTGCATGCTCCTATCTGGAGTATGGTTAAGCAAGGGCCATGCCTGTGCCCCCTTGCTCCTGACTGGCACTCCAACCCTTCTCCGCCCCTTCTATAAATAGCCCACCACCCACTGGCTGCCAAGCCATTACAGCAAGAGTTTCCATGAGGTCAGTTTCCCAGAGCAGCCTCCACACCCTCAGTATCCACACTTACCTCTCCTGAAGTCTTGTCACTTGTCCGTCCTTGCGAGGGGCTATCTCGGGTGCTATGTCTCCGTCGGGCAGGGGGTGTTGGGACCTGGGCAGAGGCTGGAGGTAGGGCCTTCCCTACGCTCTGGGCCACAGCGTCTGGACTCTGACTTGAGGAAGGAGTGGTAGTGGGCTCTACTTTGGGTTTAGGAGGAGCAAATCTCTTCCTATTCAAAGGCTTAATGGGTGGGGGGACCATGGAAGGTGTGGGCTGGCCAGAGGCTGTAGGTACCTTCCCTGAGGGACTTTCTCCAGGCACCCTGGTTCTTGTGGGTGGAAGCATCTCCTCTCCTTGAGACCTGCCTGCCTGGGTGTTCTCCATGTACATGTCCTTCAGGGAGAAATATACCTGCTCTGAGCTGAAGCTTGGGGTAGGGGCAGGGACGGAGGCCGGGGCCAGGGCTGGGGCTGGGACGGAGGCTGGGACCCGTGCAGGGGCTGGGGCAGAGACCAGGGCTGGGGCAGGAGCACCCTGAACCTTGTCTTGAGTGCCCACAGAGGCTGACTTCCTGGTACTTTCTATTCCAGAAGGCCCAGTTCCCCTTGCTTCCCTGCCTCTGGGCTGGGTCTGAGCTGGCTGCGAATCCGTGGGTTTCTCTCTTCTACTGGAATTGGGTTTGTCTGTACTGAGAATGCTATTTTCTGAAGAGCACTGGCTTCCCTCTGCCTTTTCTAACTCTGGCTTCTGAGCTCCCAGCTTAGACTCGTCTTTCCTTTTCTTCTTAGCTCCAGACTCCTTTGGAGGAGTGCTCTGAGGTCCCAGATCCATGACTTCACAGATATAGGTCAGCAAGCCATGATCCCCATCTTCGCCATTCTCTGGGGCAGGTTCCCCATTGGTGGGTACCTCTCCAGGAGCAAAACTGTTGATCAAACCCAAACCTGGGTGCTGTGCAGACTCAGTCTCTCCTTCTGGCCAGGCTGCTGAGGACCCTTCCTCCGCTTCCCTGATGGGGGCCGAGGGGGCGGCCACCTCGGCCCCACTCAGTCGGCGCTTCCTTTGGAAGCGGTCAGGGCTGATCTTGCGAAGGGTGTCTACTTCCCCTGATGCCTCCTTCCCATGCTTCCAGCTCTGCTCGATCTCACGCATCTTGGCTGCAGCCTTGCGCTTCAACTTGGCGAACCAGCGCTGGTGAATCTTGTACTCGGTCATAGTGCCCACTTCTAGGACCCCTGAGCAGGACACGATGCCCTTGGTGTTGCGGGCAGAGGCCTGGTAGATGGCAGCATCTTCTTCCCGGCACCTAGAGGCAGGAGCATGAGGCGCCATTTCTCCCACCTGGGAAGCGAGAGCCCTCCTCCCCACAGCCAGAGCCTCTGGCATTGACTGCGTGTTCCCTCCCAATCCAAGTCCTGCCCTACCTTAGGCATCATAAATTTCCTCAGATACAATGGAGGAAACTGAGGCCATAAGAGGGTGGCAGCCGACCACGGTCATGCTGTCCCAGAAGGGATTAGACTTGGGGCCCAGAAGAGCTCCATTCAGAAGCAGGTGACCAACACAGCCCCCGAGCGCAGTAATGATGACACTGTTTCTTTTTGTAGCTGCTGAGCTCATGGAAAAGGTTTCTGCGGGTCAGGACCTCCTCTGTTTGCACTGACTCGTGGCTGTGAGAAGCACGCCTACCCTGGCCTTGGGAGATCCCAGACACTGGCAGACAGCACCGTTCAACAGGTAGATCAACTCAGCTGCAGAACCCTGCCTTCTAACTGCAGAGTGCCTGGCATTCCACCCGGCCGACTCCATGTGTGGTGGCAGGGCCCAGCGAAGGGCCCTCAGGAGGGCAGAGGGCCATGCTGGCCCCTCTCCCTTACCTGTACAGCTGCAGGGTGTGACGGTTGCCCTGGTGGGTAATCTCGTATTTTGGCAAGCCACAGTAACGGTCCAGCTCTATGTCATCCTTGTACCAGGTCACCTCTGGCTCTGGGTATCCTGAACAAGGAAGCAAGAGATTGAACAGTGTTACGATGAGATTCAAAGTAGAGGGCGAATACACCGTGGTGAGGGCTTCCTGTACAGCCAGAAGGGGCTGTGCGGTACCAGTGCCTCAGGCCCTCTGGAAGCACCACCCCAGTTGCTCAGCTCACTTTCAGAATGTAGGATGTGTCAAATGGAAAGCATCTTCCCTCCCTTTGGAAGGAAGGAGATCTTCTATTAGGAAGGGGTGAGGGGTTTCCAGCAACTGATAACTGGGAATAACATGCTTCCTTTCTATAATGACCCATTCGATATCCTCATGTATAGAAAGGACTCTACCTCATAGGCCTCCTCTCCAGACCTCATCACTGCTGTGACCCCTTCCTTTCATTCCAAGTTCCTAAGCTGCATCCTTTGATAACACAACTAAAGCACCCACCCACCCATCCATCCATCCACTCACTTTTCATCCACCTATCTACCCATACACACACACACAGACACACAGAGACACTCACAGACACACACACACATACACACAGAGACACACACAGACACACACAGACACACACACACACACACACACACACACACACACACACAGAGTCACCAGGCTGTGGTGGTGTACACCTTTCCTTCCAGCACTCAGCAGGCAGAAGCAGGCAGATCTCTGTGAGGTCCAGGCCATTCTGGTCTACAAAATGAGTTCTAGGACAGCCAGAGCTGTTACACAGAGGAACCCTGTCTCGAAAAAACAAGGGGGGGGGGAGGGTAACATACCAGTCCTTCCTGGGGACTCCCAGGCTACCCATGTAGCAGAGCGCCTAACTACACAGTCACATGCCTCTTGCTTCCCTCGAAGCAACTAATCCAATCCAATCCAATCCAAACACTGTGTCTAGAAATGTATTTTTTTAGACATGTAATTTTTATTTTTGATTGTAGTGTCTGTAGTGTATGCATGTACATATGTTCATGTGTACATGTGTGCATACATGTGTGTAGGAATAGGTGTGCGTGTGTGTGGAGGCCAAAGGTCAGCATTGTTTCTTCCTGTTGCTTTCTGCATGCACACTGACATCCAAAGCTTCCCAGCTTATCTTTAGGCACTCCCCTGAGGTCCTGTCATCTCTGCCTCCCTTCTACCGGGGACCTAGGTGTATGCCAGTATATCCAGGCTTTCACATGGAATCAAGCTCCAGTCTTCATGCTGGAAGGCAAGCGCTTTCCTGACTGGGCCGTCCCCCAGCAGCTGGACATACCACTCTGAGAATATGTGAGATGGCTCTGTTCTGAAGAAGTGGATGATGCTTGGTTACAGTGAGAGACGGGGAGCTACACTAATGAGAGTTAGAAGGAAGTTGACATACTTCCAAACCCTGCTTCTAAACCTGGCATGGTGGTTCACACCTACAGTTTCAGGCTACCCTGTCTCAAAAGAAAAAGAACAAAGAAGAGAGATCTTCTATTTATTCACTTATTTATTTTTATTTTGTTGCTGTTAGCTTTGGGGGTTTTTGTTTGTTTTTTTTTTTTTTTTTTTTTTTTTTTGAGATTTTCTCTGTAGGTTCTTTGTCTATAGCCCTGGCTGTCCTGGAACTATGTAGACCAGGCTAGCCTTGATCTCATAGGGGTCTGCCTGCCTCTGCCTCTGAGCGGTGGGATAAAGGCGTGCACCACCACACACAGGCCTTTCTCCCCATCTTCCCAGCCCTGCTCCTGTTTCCTTTGCTACACCAGAACTGTCCACCAGGTCCCCTGTGACTTGCACATTGCTCGCTTCCTACACTAGCTCTAGCTGGTCAAGGAGCAGCAAAGACCCCAGGGGCTCCGGTCCCACACAGGCCCACACAGTCTACACCCTATTTCTACACTGCCCTTATCTTGTGTTCCCTCACACGGCCTAGGAGGCCGCACCTCAGATCCTGTAGAGATCTGCCTCCCAGTTAGCTCCTCACAGAGGCCTTCCCAAGGCCCCTGCAAGCCTGTGGATCTCCCCTTCAGCACAGTCTTTTATGATTGTTTCTTCCTAGAGCACACTGCCACGTGACACATTGAGCTTGTTAGTCAGTGCACGTTTGGCCCATCATGGAATGCCAGCTTCGGGCAGTGGGGATTTATCAGTGATCTCCACTGCTGTATCTCCAGTTCCTAGAAGAGTGCCTGGCATGCAATCCAAAGCAAGTAAATCTTCTTAGATGAATACATCAACAGTGTATGAAGAGCCTAGGGTCCTAGAAGGAAACAAGCTCCTTGGCTGGGGATTTGCTAGAGTCTTGGAGACCCAAAGACTAAGCAGAATTTCAGAAGACCCCAATGCACACCTCCCCTTCCTCCCACTAGTCATGCTACTGTAAGAGCCTAGCTCCTAGGCCATCTCTCCTGCTGGACTCTAGACCCAAGTGGGCAGGAATGACCATTTGCTCACTGTGGTGTCTCTCTCCTCCACCTGAGACAGTGCCTGCACAGTAGTTACTTGTTTAACAGCCTGTTAGAGCGAGTAAAGCAGTAAGGGAACATAAACAAATTGTGGGTGGGCATAGAAACTGCAGTGTGGCATGTGAGGAAATGCAAAGGGCAAGCTAGAGAACAGCACACAGCAGCAGGGAGCAAGGCAGGCAACAAACTGGGCTGTGCTGGCTGTAAACCGAGCCCTGTGTTTCCACTGTGCGCTAAAGCCCCTGGTTACATCACTGCACATGTGGCCAGGGCCAGCGCAGGTGCTCTCACCATCTTGTGAGATGATCTCACCCACCAGGGCCTTAGAGTCTTCTGCCTCATGACCTGCCCAGGACATCCTCAGTGTCCAGTCCAGAGAGGCTGGAGTAGGGCAAAGGCATGGGACAAAGAGGAGAATGATGAATAGCCTTCACAGCTGCAGCCTCACCCCCACACGAACTACCTTGTGATTATGCCCACAGTGGGGATCAAGCTGACAATTTAGGGCTTCCTAGCAGGAATGGCTTTGAAAACGAATTTATGTGGGGAACATATTGGTTACCCCTGGATAATGTGAACTATATTATATAAATACACAAAAGCCAGATGGGGCTAGGTCCTTCACTCAGCTGCACACATACTTCCTGGGCAGGGAAGCATGTATACTCACGGAGAGACAGTCCTCTGGCCAGGAGAACACAAAATAGAGCCTGAGCCAGTGGTTTCCCCTGGCCCTTCACAGCCTGTGATCTGTTTCACAGCTAGCCAGCTTGTCTAGGACACAACTTAGATGCCTACAGCCTCATCCCAACCAGTCCAGTTTGAAGAAACTCAGATTTGGAGAAATGGGAGTTTAGAGTTTTAAGAGAACTCAGATACGGAATTTCACTTGGCTCCCCTGAGCAAAAATTGTTCACATTTATTGAAGAAGAATTACTTATTGTGTGCCAGAAGATGAGCCGAATGAAACACTGTTCACGTATATCTCATCTAACCCTTATACTGGTCCTGAGGAGAATGCAGTTACCAATTCTCAATGTGAAAATAGGAAATGAGGGATGACTCGATGGTTTAGTCCTCTTGCAGAGGACTCAAGTTCAGTTCTCAGAACCCACATGGCAGCTCATAACCACCTGTAACTCTAGTTCCAGGGCATCTGATACCCTTTTCAGGCCTCTTGAACACTGGTGCACACATGATACACATATGTACTCTGTTACACACATACAATTTTTAAAGTAGTTTTTTAAAAGGAAAATGAAATCTGCCTCCTCCCCGCCCACTCTCTCCTCTCTCTTTTCCCTTCTCCCACTCCCTTCCCCTTCCCCCAATAAAACTTCCTTCCCATGTTAAAGAAAGGAAGGAAGGAAGGAACGAAGAGAGAGAGAGAGAGAGGAAGGAAGGAAGGAAGGAAGGAAGGAAGAAAGAGAAAGAAAGAAAGGAAGGAAGGAAGAGAGAGAGAGAAAGAAAGAATGAATGAATGAATGAATGAATGAAAGAGAGAAAGGAAGAAAGAGCCTAGGTGGTGCACACCTTTAGTCCCAGCACTCAGGAGGCAGAGGCAGGCAAATCTCCGTGAGTAGGAGACCAACCTGGTCTACAGAGATCCAGGATGACAGCCAGGGATACACAGAGAAAACTTGTCTCAAAAAATCATTAAAAAGAAAGAAAAAAACAGGAAAAGGAAATCAAGGCTCATGAAATTACCGCTTCTGCAAAAAGCAACTAGTGAGTAAGCAGAGGTCTGAATTTGGATCCTTCTCTGGTTTAAAGTGACAGGTGTAACCCCTACTTCATACTCAAGGAAAATACGAGTTTCACAGGACCTACGGGAGCTACTACCCAGGGTTACTTGTCTGGTACACAACACAGCCCAACTTTCCTTTTCTAGCATTCCCTTCAATGAGGATTCTGGGGCCAATGTATAAAAGTTATCATGTTAGACTTATCCCCCACTACCAATGCTTGGTTTTGTGTTTTTTGTTTTTTTTCCTTTGAGACAGGATTTCTCTACATAGCTCTAGCTACATAGAGAACTTGTTTTATAGGCCAGGCTGACCTTGAACTCACAGAGATCTACCTGCCTCTCAAGTGTTGGGATTAAAGGCCTGTGCCATCACTGTCTGGCTTTTTTTTTTTTTTTTTAAGAAATGTGATTCTTGGAGGCTGGAGAGGTGGCTCAGCTGTTGGGAGCGTTACCTACTCTTCCAGAAGACCCCAATTCAATTCCCAACACCCACATGGCAGCTCACACCTATCTGTAACTCCAGGTCCAGGGCTTCTAACACCCTTGCACAGACATATGTGAAAGTAAAACACCAATGCACATAAAATAAAAATAAATTATTCAAAACAGAAAGAAAGAAATGTGGTTGTTACTACAGATTAGGTTCTTTGGTTCAATCTGCCTCTGAAGCTTCCTTCTTCTACTTCAGCATGTGAAAATGCACACATGTGTACATACACACCTCAACACAGTGTACCCCCAAGCTGAAGACAGTGGAGGAGGGCGGCCAGCACACTGGGCAGAAATGAGCAGTCTGAGACAGCAGCATTCCAGCCTATAGGAATCAGATTGCCCAGCCATAGGCACACTTTCTCCTATTCTCCCACTGAGAGTGGAAAAGAACCCTAGAAGTCCTGTGCATCTGCAGGGGTTTCTTCCTGGAAGAGCCAGTTAGTTCCCTGCCCCCCGGTAAAGGTGAGTCTTCTTCAACAGGACAAGGGTCCAAACAGAGGAAAGCGCCATCTGTGCCGGGTGAGGCCCCAGAGTCAGGGCCTGACCCGTCATCTACCCTGCTTCTAGCAGGAGGAAGAGAAACTGATGTGGTTCCCTGAATCCATTAAGAGAAGCCAGGGACAGCAGCAGCCTCACACAGAGGCCAGTCTCAGCCACTGATCAGCCAGGAACACCTCCAAACTGAGCAGGCCTAATGTCTAATCTAGTCTCCCTAGTTACTGGAACCCTCTCCTCCATTTCCTGCAACCTACATTTTTTGTTTGTTTCTGGTATACGGTAATACCATGGTGATCGCTTTCTAATCTGCTACAGAAAACTGAGTGAGCTGAGATGTGGGGATAAGGAGGGGAAAGTACAACAGTGAATGACAATGTGGATATTATGGTTGCCCAGGGCCCTGAAAACTGTACCAGCTCAATTGGTAGGTGCTCCTCAGCAGAAGCCTGAGGCCTGGGCTGGTCATCAAAAAAAATTGCCTCTGAGGCAAAGGTGTTTCCTACCCTGTCTGACTCCCAGAGTCCCATCCCTGGGACTCACATGGTGGAAAGACAGAACCAACTCCCACAAGTTGTCCTCTAACCTCCACACAAGCATTATTGTGTGTGCATGTGTGTGCACACACACATTAAAGTAAGATGTATTTTTTAATTATTCCTTTGGGCTCAGTATTTTTAAAATACTTGCTATGTGAGTCTAATGACCTGAGCTCAATCCCTGGAATCCAGGATGGAAGGAGAGAACTGACTCCTGAAAACTGCCCTCTGACCTCCACACGTGTGCTTTGACATGCCTGCACACATGCATGCACACACACACACACACTCACCACGCACGCATGCACACGCACACTGGGAGACCAGGCAAGAAGAGAAATGGGAGCTAAAGCCATTGTAAGCGGGAGGCAGCCAGGCAGGCAGAAAGTGACAGCACACACAGCAAAGCCAAGCCCTGAGTTTAGAAGTAGTAAAAATGGAGACGTCGCCACAGGATCTGGTGACTAGGGATAGAAGGGGAAGAGCAAAGGTTAAAATGTCTTTAGAAACAGAATGCTGGGCCTTGTGATATGTATGCACACCTGTAACCCAGCACTCAGGAGGCTGGGGCAAGAAGATTGCCAGTTTGAGTCCAACCTGGGCTATACAGTAAGAGCCTATCCTAAAACAAAGCCAAATAAACAAAAACTGCTGCATGTGGTGACTCACACCTTTAATCCCAGCACTCTCGAGGTAGAGACAGACAGATCTCAGATCTCTGTGAGTTCAAGGCCAGCCTATTGTATATAGAGAGTTCTGGGCCACCTGGAGAAACATCATGAAACATTGTCTTAAAAAGCAGTAAAACAAGCCGACACGGTAGGTCATATCTACAATCCCAGGTTCTGGGAAGACAGATTGGTGGAAGGGATAAATGGCTGTACTTCAATAAGCATCTTTTTGTATAATTTGAAATCTTAAACTATGGACATGTATTCATTTAGTAAAATAAAGTTTAGTTTTCTTTGAGACAGTTTTCATGCATGCCAAGATGGCATCAAAATGGCTGTGTGACAGAGGTGCCCTTGCACTCGAGATCCCCCTGCCTCCACCTGCGGCGTGCTGGGATCACAGGAACGGCCCACCACAGGTTTATTCCGCACTTCATGACATCACCGCAGCCTCAGCTTACTATGAAGGCACTCTATAAACTGAGCTACATCCCCAGCACCTGATGTTTTCCAAGGAGAATTAAAAACATTCTACATAAAGCAGCATATGAAGAAGTGTGGAATGAGGATATTTTCTAGGAAACCATTGGTGATGCAGAGCCAGAGACTCAGATACAGGCAGCACCAGAGACTGAGCCAGGGGCAGGGCACAAGGCAAAAGCAGCTAGCTCCTCGTGACTTGGGCAGCTCACCTAGCCTCTTCTAGCTTCATCCTCTGAAAAGCTGGGCTAACCATAGCACTTACTTCACAGGGTTTGGAAGAATTCAGTTGCAACACACCACGTCATACAAAGATAAAGGATACAGGGAGTTGGTGTCCCTCTAGCAGATGTGTTGGACAGTCCGGTAATTGGGACAACTACTATGGAAAAACCAAACCCAAAGAAGCTCTTTAGCTGGCTGGGCTAAGCAAGTCCACCCAGGATCGGGGAATGTGACAGCTGGAAACTACCTTAACAAACTGAAGGAAAAGGGAGGGAGGGCTTGCAGGTATGTGAGTCTGAGTCTGGGGCCCTTTGAAATGGTAGGTACAGCTGACTGTAAATATCTTGTAGGCCTTGAGGCTGGTCAGGACAGTGCAGAGGGAAGCTTTACTGGGAACTATGGGAAAGAAACAATGCCTGAGACTAGTGTCCCAGCTCTCCTAATCCCGGATTCTAAGGTGCACCACTGAGCATCTTACTGAAAACCCAACAGGAGATTCAGTGGAAAGTGAAAAGTCTTGATTCCTAACACTTGTATGTACTGTGTGCCAGGTGCTATTCCAATGGCCAAGTACATATTAAGTCACTCAGGCTCATAGTAACTCGCTTAGCACCATATTATGGGAAGGAGGTTGAGTCAGGATTCCAAGCCAGGCAGTTTGCCTCCAGGGTCTATGGTTGGAATAACTATGATTTACTGTCTCTCAGGCTAGGTGGCTCAACTATTAGGTGGGAGGATGTTCAACAGATAGCTTTGAAGAGTACTCATCAATACTGGGTATACTTGAAGAGGAAGGAACTTCCCTGAGTATAGTTGGGGGTTTATCGTCTTTGTTTTTCTGTTTTGACACAGGTTTCTCAAGTAGCCTACCCTGGCCTCAAACTCATCACATGGTTGAGAATGACCTTCAACTTCTGATCTTCTTGTCTTCCCAAGTGCTGGGATTACAGACACAAACTACCATGCCAGACTCATGTGGTCCCAAGGATAAAACCCTGGGCTTTCGTGTATGCTAGTGAGCTTCATATGCACTAGTGAGCATCCTACCAACTGACAACTGAGGCACATTCTCAGACACATCCAACAGACACACACACACACACACACACACACACACACACACACCGGGACAGGGACCAGCCTGTTTAAACTGAGGGCACCGGGAGGGTTGGGGAGCTAAAGTCAAATCACTCAGTTTGGTATGAATAACCTGCCACCCCTCCACACACATTCTGTCCTCCTGGGACCCAACTCTGTGCAGAAACCCTGGTAGGGGCTGTATCAATAGCTTCATTACCTGTGACAATGCAGGTGAACCTGACGTCACTGTCTTCCGACACAGCCCTGGACTTGAGTGTGGTCTCAAATAGTGGCTGGGTCTCTTCTGTGAGCTGAGCAATGATGGAGCAGAAGGTGCTCCTAGAAAAAGCAAAAAGCCACTTAGAGGAGCCTTCCCTACAAAATAGACTCTGACCTTGCCTAGCCCAAGTGTAAACCTTAGCATGTTTGTCAGTCATCCTGTGGCCAAAGTTCCTGGGCATACCTGAGCAAGCCTTTATTCAACAGTTCCTGGGCTTCCTGGGCAGGTCGGGGGCTGGGTACTAAGGGGTTAAATGCAACCTTGACCAGGGCCATTATGATAGGCAAGAGACTAACAATAGGCCAGGCTCCTGAGCATACCATACTACTATCCTACACATCCCCATAAGATCCTTACTGAGGGATGGTGGGGAACTGGCTTCACCCTCCATTTTCATCTCCAGGGAAGCTGGGATGTGGGAGAGACATACATGTAAATACCTCAAGTCCCAGAGATAGAGCCCAAGCCCAGCATAGCCATGCCAAAGAAGGAAAAGCCAGCCAACCCTCAAGGATTCAGAGGTCCCTGAGGCATGGAACTGTATCCTAGAGCTGGGATTCGGAAGAAACGCACAGCACAGGCCACAGTAGATGAAGAATAAGCTGCCAATGCTGGCGGGCTTGGCTCTTAAGGGGACTCTACTCTATGGACTATCAAATGAAGCTTGATGTCACATAGAGTTATGGGAGGCACTAGCAAGCCAGCTATGGCTCCTCGGCTCCCTCTATGGACACCACGAGCTAAAGTGAAAACAAGGCTGGCAGCCATAGACTGACTCCTAAAAAACCAGAACTCTTGGTTCCCTTGTGATAGAGGCCCTTTTAGCAGCTGTATCTGTGGGCTTGTTATGTCTACCCCAAACTCACCAACAGTCCTCAGGACTTACAGGGCAACAGTCCTTCCTCGGCACAGGGAGCAAACCCTTTCATGGTCCAGCAAAGACAGTGCGTTCCCAGGCGTGAAGCTCAACCACATAGCCAGGTTGGGTGGTGCACAAGCTGTGCCCAGCCCTCCTCCCCTCCCTGGGCACACACCCTTTGTGAGTAGCAGTGGGGGACCGTGAAGGGGAAAGCCAACAGATGCAGAAGGAACTGTGGAGAAAGGCAGATCATTCCAACTTCCTTTCTCTGGACCTCAAGGAGTCGGCCCAAGAGCCATATTTACCTGCCCGTGACTCTCTAACAGGTACAGAGTATGAGGGAATGCAGACAGAGGGTATAACCCTACACATTCTGCAGAAAGAAGGCTCCACGTTCCACAAATCATCTATCTCTTCTCTAAGCATTATTCTGCACTTGAGTTCTAAGGGAAAGTTTAGGTCCAAGAAGTGTTTTGAATCAAGTAAGATTTCTGGGCTGACGGTGCCTGGGAATGCAGACATCCAGGCATTTGAGTCCTCCTTCTAAGGTCCACCTAGGATGGGGATCTCCCCTCTCATCCACCTGAGCACTGAACCAGGCCTGCGCGGTGTGTTCTGCAGCATCCGGCAGCATTCTCTCACTGAGAATCAATTGCCCAATAGCATAAGCACCTCTCTTTCCCCTTTAAGTCATACAGAAATAGAGAACCTTTGGGACCTAGGCTATCAACTCCCTGAACACTTAGAGTATAACATCTGGATTGTTTTCTTTTTTTAGACAGCGTGTTGCTATGCAGTCTAGAACCTGTGGTCTATCTGCTTCAGCCTTTCAAGTAGATGTGATTTACAGCCCTGCAAATGTTTCAAATGTTTCTCTTTCTTTGCTCCTCTTCCTCTTCATTCTTCTTCCTCTTTTTCCTTTTTCCTTTTTAAGACAGGATCTCTCCATGTGGTCCTAGCTGTCCTGGAACTCACTCTGTAGACCAGGCTAGCCCCAAACACACAGAGATCCGCCTGCCTCTGTCTTCCAAATTTTGGAATTAAAGACATGTACCACTGCACCCTATATGAAAATGTTTCTTGTTCCCATCATGTAATAGCAATTTCTGAGTTGAACTTTTTAGAAAGTTCTAAGCCAAACATAGCCCAACCACTGTTAATCCTTGTTACATTGCACAACTTGTTTATGGTTTTTGCTTGTTGTTTGAAGCAGACTTTGGGGTTTATTTTATTAATTTTGTGTATTTATTTTGTGTGAGCGAGAGAGAGGGGCAGGTCCAAATGCACCGGAGCAGATGCATGGACCACTTGCAGCTCTCTCCCTTCCCATTTTACGTGGGTTCTAGAGATTGAACTCAGGTCCCCAGGCTTGAACGACAGGAAGTGCCCTGACCTGCTGAGGAATCTTTCTACCTTGTCCTATTCTCTGGGGACTTTTGTTTGGTTGTTGAGACAGTGTCTCATTGCGCAACTCTGGCTGGCCTGGAACTGTTTATGTAAACCAGGCTGGGACAGGAAAAGTCACTCTGCCATGTTCTGTTGACCATCACACAGCTGTGCTTGCCACAGTTGCGTCTGCCACTGTCCTCCACTCTGCTGTGGGCTAAACTCCAGGTGTATCCTATCCAGCTACCCAAGAAACCAGGAAATCCACACACATCTGGTAACTGTCTTTTCAACCTCCACGCTTCCAAGTATATCCAATTCCATGACTTTTTTAATGGTCTATTATCTTGAAAGGACCCAGAATCATGGATTTCTGTGATGTTCAAAGGAGCCTAACCCTTGGTGTTCTTCCCTCCATCGAACCCCCCTGGCTTTCTCTCACAGCACGCATCACTCTGAATCAGCTGAACTACCCTACCCTCCTCCCAGACCAAAGTTCCCTTGGTGTTCATCCCCATCAAGAACCAACTAATCGTGCCTGAAGACATAATGAACTATTCAGAAACCAGCTGGTTAGTGAGAAATCTTCCTCTGTGTGAGAAGAAAAACTTGTGGCTAACTCATCCCAGTCTGGGATGGGGCTCAAGAGGTGAGAAGTAGCCAGGAAACAGTCAGTTCAGCCAGCGCAAGGACTGTTCCCAGCCTGGCAGGTGAAAGGGCAGCTTTTCAGCTGCAAGCCTTGAGCACAGACTTGCTCAGGCTCTGAGCTGGCTCCTCCGTCAGAGGATACATGGGACAGTAATGTGTACTTCTGAGTCTCTGAGGGTGGGGTGGAGTCCACGGAAAGGAAAATTCAGAGGAAGGAAAAGTAGCAGGTGAAATTACAGGATGACGGGGGGGGGGGGGGGGGACAGGGGGACGGGACTTAAAAGGCAGGGCCACTATTACAGAAAGATAGGTAAGGCATCAAAGCTAGACACATGGCTCCTATGGCTGGTGTCTGCCCACTGTGTCCCCTGTGGTGCCCATTCCAAAAGCTATCATGGCAGGCACCTCAGCAACTCTTCCCTACACCTTTATCCCTGAGTCCCAGGCCCATGCAAGCATCAACTGTGGTCCCTGTGAGACCCATGCCCATGTGAGTACCCTCTCACACCCTCCCCATCACCCCATGCAGTCTGGTTAGTGTACAAGCAGTCACCCTGTGGCCTCTCAAGGCCTCTCAAAAGCAGTCGGAGAACGTAATGCAATGTGCGTTTACCTTCCAGAGCTGGGGTGAGACAACCGGTTGCTTGATAAGCTAAGCAAAAACAGTAAATGGAATCATTAGGCCCAAAAGCAAGGAGAGGAGGCAAAATCAACAACAGTCACAAAGTATTAATCAGCCACCATCTGAGGCCCAGAGGCCTTTCTATTAAAAGGAACCAGCTGTCTTAGTTGGCTGCTCCTGTTAGCAGCAAGAGGCCTCACCACTGGACACCAATATATCTAAAAACCAAGAGCTCATTAAATGCAGCAGAGTCCAGGAAATCAGTTAGGCAGGATGGAGGTCCCTGTGTGTGAGAGAAAGGTGTACGTCGGGCATAAGTCTCTTTCCCTAAGAGGAAGGCCTGTGCTGGTTCCCCACCCACAGCATACCAGCCTGTGGGTAGCTGGTGCTTCAGTTCTTGCCTTTGATGGAGAGCAGCCTCATTCCTGGAAATCCCCACACAGGCTTGGAGAAGACAGGTGGCTTGGAGAATACCAACCATTAATATGTTAAAGTATGGTTAAAGAGCAAGGCAAACCAGCTGGGAGAGCAAAGAGGAGGAAAACAAAGCAGTTAATTCAGCAGGAGCTAGAGACACCCAGCTCCCTCAGTCCAACCTCACATCCTGCTTAGAGGCGGGGCAGAGAAGAGGGCTTCGTCCTTTGGGGAGTGAGGCCACATGTAAGTGGTGCACCAGCTCTTGGTGTTGAGGCAGCTTTGACCTCTTCCTCCTGCGGGCCTCAAGTCTTTCGGAGATGGCAAGGGGCATCCCGCCCACACACACCCTTCACTTTCCCCTTCTTTATGGCACTAAGCCTGCTCAGTGGCACTCAGGGAAGCTTGCATTTCCATCTCACCCCTTCTCTTCCATTACACATGGGTTATTCGGATGCCACTAGCATCCTTCCAAAATCCTACGCTCCAAACCTTCCGTCTTGAAGTCTTCCTTCTCCCCTTTCCCACAAATCCAACCAACACTTCTTTCTCCTTTTCTAACTCTCTTTCCCTGTTCTGCCAGTTCCACACTTAACACCCCCTCCCTTTCTCTCACAGGCTGTTATTTGGGTTTGGTCCTGGTTTTGTTTCCCTGTTTGCTTGTGTGGTTGATTTTGGGAGGACAAGGTCTGATGTAACCTAGGTTCAAACTTACTGTGTAGCCAAAAGTGGTTTTGAGTTCATAATGATCCTCCTGCCTCAGCCTCCCAAGGGCTAGGATTACAGGAATATACCATCATAGTTGGCTTCTCACAGTACTGTGTAGAAAATGCTGCAGTCCACCTACCGCTTGTTTGTTCATACTCAACGCATGTCAACAGTTAAGGCCCTCTCTGGTCCTTCTTACAGCCCCTTCCAACACTCAGGTTGTACGGCAGCCAAGCCCATCCAAGCATGGCCACATCCCAGGCTATCACGTCTTTCCTTCCTTCTGCTCGGCTAAACCCCACCCACACAGCCTTTAAATCTAGGTCTTTGTATAGCTTCTATGGTTCTTCAGGTAGTGCTAGGCATACAATAGGTAATGAGGAGGTGGAGGAGGAGAAATGGAAAACATTTCAAAGAGGAAGGGTCCTTCTGTCCTTCCCCACACCCCACCAGGCTGCTGCTCCAGAAGAGTCAGGAAAAGGATGCACACTGCAGGGGCCTTTGCTTGGAGTTTTAAAAATCCTCTGGAGGCTATATAGGCAGAACCTCCCTTAGCTTCAGGGTACTGGCAATCCTATCCTTCCCTGACCATGAACAGCCTTTGTCTGTCTCCTTGGAATTGAGAGATTTCCCCTTGAGTCTGGACCTCCTCCCTGGGAGGGGAGGCGTTGGGCCAGCTTCCTAATTTACAACGGAAAATGACAGGTTCCACCTCCACGTGGGCAGGAGACTGAGCAGAGACACTGTGTCCTCTCCATCTCTCTCGGGCTGTTTGTGAGGTTTTGTTTCCTGGCCCTGCCATCCTTCAACCTCGCTTTACATGTTTGTTTGCTAGGGTTTTTTAAAGATTTCATTTTTATTATTTTAAAATTGTTGGCGTATGTGTATGTATGAGAGTGCAGGTACCCTGTGAGGACAGAGACATCAGACCCCTGAGGACAGAGACATCAGACCCCTGAGGACAGAGACATCAGACCCCCGGAGCTGGAGTTGTGCCCTGTGAGGACAGAGACATCAGACCCCCGGAGCTGGAGTTGTGCCCTGTGAGGACAGAGACATCAGACCCCTGGAGCTAGAGTTGTGCCCTGTGAGGACAGAGACATCAGACCCCCGGAGCTGGTTGTGAGCCACCTAGGGTGGGTGCTGGGAACCAGCTCTGGCTGTCCTGGAATTGTTGTGTAGACCAGGCTGGCCTTGAACTCACAGAGATCTGCCTGCCTCTGCTTCCTGAGCGCTGGGATTAAAAGCATGTGCTACCACCTCCCGGCTCAGCACACAGTCTTAACTGCTGAGCCATCTCTCCAGTCCCTTGCCTTACATGTTAATCAAGCCAGAAGAATCTGAGGCCTACAAAGGCAGAAGATCTGTCGGGCCCTTGCTGACTGACTGATCCTAGCAGAGAAGCTTTGGGTGTGTGGAGGTGGGTAGGGCAGGGAGGGTCAGAGATATCTACTGTTGAAGCTGAAGGGCTTTAGAGCTCTTGTCATGATCCCATTGCAGAATAGGAATCCAGGGCCCAGAAAACAAAGTTCTCCTCATAAAGGAGCAAATAGACCTGGAAGAACCAGGGCAGGCGTGGAAGTTGGGGCCTCCCATCACTCTGCTTTTCATCCACTCTGAGACCTAAAAGGCCTCTAGAAACTTCTGGCCCAATGCCAGTTTCCCGAACATCCTAGACAACCTGCCTTAGCCAAGGGGAGCAGCAGAGGTTGTTTCAAAGTGGTCTGTCTGTAGCAATGTTACAGCCCTTCCCTTCCACTCCTATGAGGCCACCAGAGTCAGAGCCTTCCTGAAACAAGAGCCAGGGACTTGATGGCTTTGAGTCACACAAAAGCTGGTCAGTCACTATTTAGTCTCAAGTTCAGTTCTCTAGAGTACTGTAGCCTATGCACATACTGCCTGCCTGGAGATGTGAGGCCCTCACAGCCCCTGGATGAGCAAAGAGACTGTCTATTAGATAGGACAGACAAGTGGGACTTTTTCCCTGAACTCAGTGAGCCACAAACTGACATAAGACTAGAAATCCTGAGGCGGAAGAGAATGCTTGGTGGTTAAGAGCACTGGCTATTCTTCTAGATGATTGGGGTTCAATTCCTAACACCTACATGGCAGCTCACAACTGTCTATAACTCCAGTTCCAGGGGATCTGACATCTTCACACTAATGCACATAAAATAAAGTTAAATAAATAAATTAAAAAAAAAAAAAGACTAGAAATCCCTCCAAGGACCATGGGGCAAACAGGAAATGTGGGACACAGATTCTGGAGTCCCAGACATGTGGCTGGCTGTCCATAGCTCCCCAGGAAAGCCCAGCCTCAGAGCTGGGAAGGACGACTTAAGAGCCCCAGAGCAAGCCAGACATGGTAGCACACACCTTTGATTCCAGCACTTGGGACGCAGAGGCAGGCAGATCTCTGTGAGTTCGAGACCAGCCTGGTCTACAAGAACTAGTTCCAGGACAGCCAAGGCTACATAGGGGAACTCTGTCTCAAAAAAAAAAAAAAAAAAAAAAAAAAAAGCAAACAAACAAAAGCTTTGAAACAGATCTATAGAAAGGTGGACCCAGAATATTTTGGACCCATAGTAAGTGAGGGCAGAACTAGCCTCTCAGCCAGGACCCAGGCTGGAGTTGAACACAGTTAGCAAAGTCCTCAAGCTCTCCTCTTTGTTTCTTGGTCTCCCTCCATCCCTACAGGCAGGTATTGGAGGAGCAGCAGAGTGTACAATTCCTCCAACACAAATCAGACCCTTCCCACAGCACTAGAACTGTCCCTGCACCCACCCCAGAGCCATCCACTTCACATTCTTCTCTCTCTCTCTCTCTCTCTCCCTCCCTCCCTTCCTCCCTCCCTCTCTCTCTCTCTCTCTCTGTTTCTCTCTCTCTCTCTCTCCCTCCCTCCCTCCCTCCCTCCCTTCCTCCCTCCCTCTCTCTCTCTCTCTCTGTTTCTCTCTCTCTCTGTTTCTCTCTCTCTCTCTCTCTCTCTCTCTCTCTCTCTCTCTCTCTCTCTCTCTCTCTCTCTCTCTGCCATGGGCTCTTCCAGAAGCCAAACAAACCTGGCTGCTCTTGTCGGGACCCAACTGGTCTGTAGCCAGTTGGCAGGAGGTGAAAACATACAGGGGCAAAACTGTGGGGAGCCTTCAAGAACAGCCTTCTAACAGCATCCCCATTAACATCCAAGGACTCAAGCCAGACAAGCTTTTCTTCCTTGCAGCCCTCTGCCTGGCACATATAAAAATGTCTAAAACAAACTCAGCCAGGAAGTAGCTCGGTGCCCAAGCCTCCAGCCTTGTTCCTAAGAGCCCAGATTCTGAACCCGCTCCTCTCTTCCAGGCTTTCAAACACCCTTTCTTCCCTTCCTTCACCGCTAGATTTCCAAGAAAAACCCTGTTTCCTCTTCTTGTTCTACTGGTATTGACAAAAGCCAGATACGGAGAGAAGCAACGCCCAGATAAGCCACAGCCACAAGTGGGATAAATGAAAAGCTCTCACTGGGGAGTCTGCCTCACTAAGGTCACTGATGTCCACACTACACAGTGTTCCCCAGAGCCAGTAACAGGAAAGGGTGCTGAGCACAGCCCCAGCAGCCCAGGAGCCCGGCTGAGTCTGACTCAGTCCTAGCACCAGTCCTCAGCCCTGCCCCAAACACGTGACACCATTTGCAGAGTTTTATGCAGAAACAGGTTCCGGTTACATTTGAACTTTTCCAACTCCAAGGTCAATAGGACTCAGCCGATCCTGGAGGAAGTGCTCAGGGCTTTTCCCGAATATCACTGGTGCCTTTTTTTTTTTTTTTTTTTTTTTTTTTTGTACTCTTGAGAGCAGAAATCTGCAGACAGTTTCTCAGAGAAGCAACTTCTGCACAATACACAAGCCAAATTCTGTGCTAAGAAGTAGCGACGGCTACCCCAAGAGCCACCACTGTCACATTCCCCTTAGGAAAAGAGTGGAGGGCAGGAAGTTTGTCTGCAGGGGCAATGCACTTGTTCATCTTTGAGTGTCTTTCCAGAAATTTGCCATTGTCTGTGTATCCTTTTATCTAGGAATAACAGCTCCTAAAACAAACTCTTCAGACTTTTTTCACTCTAAGAAGGCCAATGAAGGGTTCCTCACCCCTCCCTTGGCATCTCAACCCCTCAGAGCTTCAACCCATAGGTCCCTCCCCGGTTTCCCAGACAGGGCCACCCGTCACCTCCTGGCACCCCTTCCTCTCAGCTAGACACAACACAGTGCTGGAAGGCCAAAGCCCTGGGCCCAGAGGAGGAACTTGAGTTATCCCACACTGATCTCCGACTCCCACTCTCAGTGGAATAGCCTCTCTGGCTCCCCCACACCCACCCACCCACCGGCAGCTTGCTCCTCTTTGAAGCGTAGGAATTTCAGCCACTCTGGATCTCCTTATCACTAACTATGGAATCCAGCTCTGGGAGTAGCCCAGTATGGGGTGAGGGAGATAAGAAAAGCCTTCGGGCCCCTGTAAAATCACCTCAAAGGCACTTTCTCCTCTCTTGGGATACACATTTGAGGCACACAGGGTCTCAAGGGGTCAAAAGAGTACCATGAGGTACCAGGTAGTTCTGGTCTGCTTCTGTCCCCACATCTCAGGGCCGTAGGGTTCAGAAAGCTCGAGGGCAGGGGCCTCACTCCGGGTCTCCATAGCTTCCGGACGCTTCTACGAGCCTGGCCACACCCGCCCACCACCCAAGGGCTAGAGCGGGCCGGGCAACTCACCTAGTCTCCGGCCGCACGCTGAGCAGATAGCTGCGACTAGCCGGGCCGGGTGTCCACACCGGCCCGTCGTCCTCACCATCGCCACCCGCCCCTGCCCGTCCACCCAGGCCCCAGCCCCGGCCCACGGCCCTCCGCGACCCCATGGCTCCGCCACCCCTGCCTCCAGCCCCGGCTCCTGCCCGACACTGACGTGCGCCCCTATTTATAGCCCAAGGCTGCTGTCACCTGCTGCTGTCCCTCCCCCGGACCAGCGCGCGGCTCCTCAGCTTGACCCGAGGACCAGGGAGGCCTGCAAAGAAATGCTGCAAATGAGACACAAAGAGAGGGTGCCTATTACCCCGGCCTCCCCACAACCTTCTTCTGGCTCCCTTCCAGTTTTCAAAGACGCCTTTAGAAGGAAAAGGGGTAGCTAAGAGACCTAAGGAAAGGGGAGATTGACATAGATCCTAAAGGGGGCCCCACTGAGCTCCACCTGGTCAGCAAAACCAACACTATGCACATAGAGGTTATCAGCGACCCCCTCTGTCCAAAGGAGGCCAAGATTCCTGGGCACACATTCTGTGTCTCCCCAGAACCCTACCAGTATCTAGCGTTACATTAGCAGTTCAACAAAGGCTTCTAGAACCCGCTCCCACCCTTCAGGCTTCATTTCCTAAGGTCAGGAGGGGAAACCGGGCCAAGTCCTAACGCCTAGGAAAATGAATATAACCCTCAACATTTCCAGAGCAAGCTGCTAAGCACTACCTAAACTTATGGGGGTGACCACAGTGGGTTTATCTGTCCCTTCCACATCCTTCAGCTGGAGCCATAAGTGACAGAAAGCTCAAGGGATGGAGTGCAACCCCCTCTGCTCTCCAGTTGAACTTGGAGCCCCACAGTTTGGAGGTGGCATTCCCCCACAGTGTGGCATCTATCTTGTTCCTCTTCTGGCCTCAGCCTACTGGAGTCTGACTCCTGACCGTTGCTGTCATCTCCTGACCACAGACCCAACCTGTGCCAGTTAAAAATCTTCACCAAAATGCTCTTTTATTGTCTCTCAGCCCTGGCTTCAAGGCAAGTGCTGGGATTATAGGTGTATGCCATCATTCTTGATGTGCCAAAACATTCTTAAAAAAAAAAAAAATAGGTATTACAGGTTATTTAATGTGTGAGTGTGCATGCACACATACTTGTTCACCAAGGTGTACAGAGGACATGCAGATAAAATAACATTTACATAAAGGTCAGAAGTGGAGAGATGGCTCAGTGTTTAAGGGTGTGCATTACTCTAGCAGAGGACCCAACTTCAATTCCCAGCAGGCACATCAGGCTGCTCAGAGCTCCTGGATGCCTCTAACCTCCTCGGGCACCAATGCTCTACACACACACACACACACACACACACACACACACACACACACCTCGAGAAAGAGGAGGATGAAGAAAAGACCTATCCCTCCTAAGTCCCAATGACAAACCAAAGTACATTTCCATTAAAGTTCACTCTAGGGAGCCATGGTCAGGAGTCTTGAAGAGGCCGCAGTTGGATGTGCACCTAGCATGGGTGATGAACCCCTGTGACTGTGTAGATGGAGTCCCCTCCTTTAGTCCTTCCTGGCCATACTCTTGCCCCTCCCTGCAGCCACATGCAATTAGAGCACAGCTGTATTCAACTGGGTGGAGGGGGGTGTGTGACTGAACTTGAGTGGGGTTCCATGACCCTGCCCACCCTTCTCCAAAAGACATCAGTGACCAACAAGCCCAGCTCAGACAGTCTTTTGCAAGCAGACATGCTGATCTGATAAAGATGGTGGCAGCTGGCTTGAAATATACTCCTATACAACAGACAATTGATAGGGAGTTTCTCCTGTTTTTCCAGCATAAAAAACCAGGGGACCAACTCGGGTCATCTGACCTGCTTGGCAGCAGGAACATTCTTTTTTTTGTTTTTTTAATTAACAAAATCTCCATACATTTTCTTTTCTTTCCTTATTCCAAACTCTTCCCTCATAATCTCTCTCCTGCTTTATTTCTAATTCATAGCCTTGCCCACAAGTGGTGGTGCAAGCCTTTAATCCCAGAACTTGGGAGGCAGAGATTTCTGTGAGTTCAAGGCCAGTTTGGTCTAGAGAACTAGTTCCAGGACAGCCAAGGCTACACAAAGAAACTCTTGGAAAAACAAAACAAAACACCAAAACAAAACAAAATTCCAATAATCAAGTTAATGATCTTTTTTCTTTTTTTTTTCTTTTTTGCTACATATATATGTGTGTATATATATGTATTCCTAAAAATATAAATACAGCCTACTAAGTCTGTATAATTTTACTTACATGGATATATTTTCAGGGATGACCATCTTGTTGTAATTTTAAAAGTGATATGAGAGAAAAAGAGGCCATGCAACAGAGGGTTTTGTTTTTTTAATTGGGGGAAGTGAATGGAAAAGGTGGGGAGGGGAAGAGGTGATAGGAGTAGCAGAAGAGTGAGGCAGAGGGGGGAGGGAGAGGGAGAGGGAGAGAGGGGGGGGGACAATCAGACAAAGGGAGAGAGGGAGAAAAAGAAAGAGATAGGAGGTTGGCAAGACCCACCTTTTAAAAGGGAACATGGTGAATGGAATGTACACAGGTGGTGCTCTTAGTGGCTGCAGCTGAGGTCCTGTCAGGACCCCAAGGGCAGGCCAGTGCAGATGCCAGAATGCTGACACAGCTGGGATTGGACAGTCAGTAGGCGTGCTCTTTCCTGGGGAAGACTGTTTCTCCTCTCTCAGCCATCCTTAGTTGCCTGTAGTTGTCTGTGTAAAGCTGAGACCCTGTGAGCTTTCCCCCTGCCACGTTAGCATGTTTACTTGTGTCATCATCCTTGTTCAGCTCGTTTAGGCAGCCATGTTGTTGAGACTTTGTGAATATAGCTTCTGACATTCCCACGAGACACAATCCTACAGCAAAGTTCTTGTTCCTCTGGCCTTACAATCTTTCCATCCCTTCTTCAACAATGATTCCTGACCTCAGGTACTGGGGCTCCCACCCCTCTTTGTTCTTGGATCTCTAGAGATGCACCTGTTAAATTTTCTCCAGCCACAGTGGCAGCCTTCAAATATTTGCAATTGTGGTTCATGTGTTGGGATCTTGTGAACACTCATATGTCAGGCTAGGACTGTGGTCTCATGATCTAATATGAGAGCCTAACACATTGCAAGGGGCATCACGCAATTACAGAACCAGAGAGGAGGACATGCCAGCATAATGAAGCACAGTGATTAGCTCTGCCTGGGGGTTTGGTTAGGAAGGAAATAAAGTTTGAGCATGATTTTAAAAGTAGCTGCTCACCAAGTAGATGTGGGGGGAAACAGAAAATCCCAGAGAGAGGAAGCAGTAAGCATAAACATGGAAGATATATAGGTCACACAAGTGTAAAAGAGATGGGTAAGCAGAGGGGCAGTTGGCAGACAGGGCCAGAGCCTGAAGGTCTAGTCTAGCACACTGGAACTAGACTTGCCTTCTAGACCACTTCTCGTATGACAATAGATACTATACCACCCTGGTGACCTGTAGCATGAATTCTAATTGGTCTTAGTAATAAAAACTCAGAGTTTTTATTATTATGGGGGGGTGAAAGAGGAAGGATCAGAGAAGCAAAGCAGCCAGCCAACACAGTTCTTACCTCTACCAATGCTCAGACCAAAGGGTTGATCCTGTCCTCAGACTGCATCCTCAGATTGTATCCTCAGACTGCTTCAGACTGACTGTTCCTCAGACCGCCACGAGCTCCTGTCTCCTCCCACCTTATATTCGTATCTCTGCCTAGCCATATTCCCTTCCTGTCTCCACCTCCTTAGTTCTGGGATTAAAGGCATGTCACTCCAAGTGCTGGGATCACCTTTGTGTGAGCTCTGTTTCTCTTTTAGACTGGATCAGTTTTGTATAGACCAGGGTGACCTTGAACTCACAGAGATCCATCTGCCTCTGTCTCTCAAGTGTTGGCATTAAAGGTGTGTGCCACAACTGCCAGTCCTCTATGGCTGACTAGTGTGGTTAGGTCTGCCCTCTGATCCTCAGACAAGCTTTATTTGTTAGATCATAAACAAAATATCACCACAGTGACCCTCCAGCCTTGCCCCCCCTTCCTAAAAAAATGATATTAGCATCTCTCAGGGGCTTTCCACATTAACGTTTTTTACACTCAGATTATTCCCTTGACTTCTTATACCCTCTTTTCCATGAAAAGAGTTGTTTTTAGATTTAGGTTTTTTCGTTTTATACGTATGAGTATATACACATGGTCACATGGTACATCTATGTATCTGTACACCACAGGAATGCAGTGCCCACAGAGGCAAGAAGAGGGTTGGATACCCTGGAGGTAGAGATGTGTGAGCCACCATGTGGGTGCGGGGAATGGACCCAGGTCCTCCAGAGACACAGTCAGTGCTCGTAACTACGGAGCCATCTATCCAACCCAGAAAGGCAAAAAGTGTATCCTTTTTGTTTTGGTTTACTTAAAACTCATCGCCCTCATGCTCTCTTCCCTTATGGTCTAGAACTTTGCCAGCTTCTTGTTATCCAAAGAATTTTTACTTTTCTTTTTCAATACAGGGTTTCTCTGTGAAGCCCTAGCTGCCCTGGAACTCACACTGTAGACCAGACTGACCTCAGACTCACAGAGATCCACTGCCTCTGTCTCCCTAGTGTGCCACATAAAAACATGTGCCACATAAAAACATGTGCCATCCTACGTGTTTAATTTTTTTATGTGTATGTGTTTTGTCTGCATGTTTCATGCCTGTATACCATGTCCATGCAGTGCCAATGGAGGCCCATTGGATTTCCTGGAACTGGAGTTACAAATGGTTGTAAGATGCTATGTGGATGCTGGGAATCAAACCAAGGTCCTCTGGAAGAGCAACCTGAGCCATCTCTTCAGCCCCTGTTAATTTGTTTTTTGTTTGTTTGTTTGGTTGGTTTTTTTTTTTTTGTTTTTTGTTTTTTGTTTTTTTTAGACAGGAGGGAGGGAGGGGCTGGAGAGATGGCTCAGTGGTTGAGAGCACTGGCTGGAGACGGGTCTCACTGTGTACCTCAGGCTGGCCTGGAATTCATGGATCACCCATGTCAGACTTCTAAGTGCTTAGATTACAGTTGTCTTCAGTAACAATTGTATTAAATAACCACAATTACTGGAT